TCAGTAACAGTCAATACTTCACTCTTGCCTATCAAAATGATTTTTCAACTCACCCACTTTCGCTGTACATCACTCCTATTAACAACCTCCCTAATTTACCACGGCCCTTGTGTCCCTCTGCCACATGACAGGGAGCTAAACAATCTACACATGCTAGCTTTCCTCTCCTTTCTAAGTGTGTCAGGAACTTTCTCCCGTGAACTACCAAAATTTATTCCATATTTGAACTCTCAACATCTTTCAGGTTCCTTCTGGGTCTTGTGGTTAATTTTCGTTTTCAGAAGAAATCACTAGGTTCCAATTCTGTGAAAAATCCTCTTTAATGAAATGACCCAGGTCTTGACCCACTCTCTATGTGATTTCTTTGCAGTTCAGGGAAAATAATACAAGAAACATTATTTTCTTAGGCTCTTAATTAGAGCAGGACAAAAAGTAACCAAGGACTTGGAAGAGTTTTTTAAAATGTTCTAAATAGCATACATTAACTATTGCCTAAATTTGAGAACTACAGAGATGCTATGGTGAGACCAATTTGGCTAGACTGAAGCAAGACATAGAGAAAAACTAATTCAAGTGTGGCATTCAGTAGAAATAAAACATGAAAAGGCTGATATCTAAAATACAACATTTATCTATATTCTTCCTCAGGAATAAACACTTTACTTAAAATCTATTATTTTGTACCTCCTTTTAGCATAGAAGCACCATATACCTGTACAGACATATATAATAAAAAGTTAAAGTCAATATTTCTCCTTCATTACTGCCTCACTCACTCACCCAGCACAAATACACATTTTTAACAGTTGAGGGTAAAACTACTTTCTGGACATTTTCTTTAAGTTCATAGACATATTTTTTTAATTACCTGAATTATGCTATATACATTAGCTACAAACTGGCTTTTTAAGTTTTAATTGTGTTCTATCTCCAGTATTCCATGTCAATATATATAGGGCTATCTATTATTTTTGATGGTTGTATAGTATTCCACAACATGAGCAAAATATGGTTTAAGTTCCCTATTGATAGACATTTGGGTAACTTCACTATGTTGACAAATATAGCACTGACAATCCCCAGGCACCTGTGTACACATACATGCTAAGAAGGCTGTAGGACAAACTCCTAGAAATAGACTTGCTGAGTCAAAGGGTATTTGCATTCACATTGGTAGAATCCTCAAATTGTCACCCCCAAAACTGTACCATTTATGCTCTCAAACAAAAAAAAGTATTAAGCATTAAGTATTATGGCATTTTTACCTCTCTGCGCTTGGCTTCATTCTTCCTGTATTTGTTGAAGCAGTGACACAGGATGTTCCCACAGCAACACGCCACGTGCACTAGGGGGCCCTCTTTACCCAGGCTCAAGCCAGATGACACTGCCAGCACCAAGGTGATGGTTTTGATAACCAGGGTCCACTTACCCAAATAGCCCCTAATAATGAAACCACTCAAGATAGTTTTTATCTGCGGGGAAAACACAGAAAGATTGAATACAGACTAAGGAATCTCATTAAGGAAACTCCATCTTTTGAACAAGTGACATCAAAATGTTTGAACTACAGTGACCCCAGTTTGGGTGGGACCCCAAGAACCCAAGAAAGCCACAACTATTCTTCAATATTCTATGTCCTCTGGGGGGAGGCACACATGACAACTGGACAAGGATGTAAGTCTGGCAGTGTGTAGAGAGACATGGGAGGCAGCCAGGAAGAGCAGGTGTTTTCCTCAGTTTACAAAATGGTGACTCAGAGGCATGTTCTGAGAGGGCAAGGTCAATGTTCTTAAAACAACCTGAAAGATGAGGTTTAGCCTTGATTCCCTGCCGAAGAAATTTGTGACTGTTACCTGGTCGGGAAACAGAGAAGGGCAAGATCATCCTGGCAACCTAAAATTGCAGTGATTTCAGTCACTGTCAAGCAACCTGAATCAAAAGAAGGTAGACCAGCTACCATTACCCCCTTCTAACCTAAATCAGATGGCCCAAGCTAAAAGGAGACTTGAAGGAAAACCTAGAGAATCCTTAGGTGGCCTCAGGATCTGACCTTGATTCATATTCATCAAACTGTGAGATATGCTGGGATACACATTACAAGATTTTAACCAAAAACCATCCATATTGTTACTATTTATAAGCCATTGAACATACCTCTGGGATTCCAGAGCCACAGGCGTAAGGTGCAAAGACTTTGACAAGAAATACGGCAAGGAAAGCAAACAGGAGAGCCCAGAGGACGTACATGAAGTAATTCACTATGTAGGCAAAGGCTCCCTGGAATAGGAGAAGACAGAAACTTGTTTTAATCTAGGCTGCCTCAGTGAGGCATGGGACTCTTCCGAATAATGGCTTTCCAGGAGAGAAGGTCAAAAGGAAAAGACCAGTATTAAATTGCTCAAATGTTTCTTGGCAGATTGTTCAGCAAACAACTACTAAAACACCATCAGACTTTGTGGTACTGAAAAGAAGATGCTTTGCCAAAGGAAATTCACAATGGATTGTAAGAACGGACAGCAAAGAAGAGCAAACCAAAACCCTGAAACAAAACTCACTTGTATGTGAGGGCCTTGATAGGCTTTGTAGTCAGCTCCATAATGATTCTGTGTTGCTTTTACCTAGAGCTTTAGCCTCCTCCTCCTCTTCTTCTTTTTGGAATGATTGAACCTTAGCTAAACATTCCAAGTGAAGACCAGCTCCAAAGCTCCATTGCAGTCACTTTTGACTACCTACCTTGCTGTCAAATTCTCACAGGAGATTACAGTGACTAAAATTCCTGAGTGCTTTTTCTTTTTTAAAAAAAAATTGTAAACGTTTAAGGTACACAACATGGTTTGGTTTGGTTTGAGTTTCTAGTGCTGGGGATTCAACCCAGTACCTCACATGTACTAAAGAACACACTCTACCACTGAGTCATGAGCTACACTTCCAGCTCCTATGTTTTTTTTCTGGTGGTGCTGGGGTTTGAACTCAGGGCCTCATACTTGCAAAGCAGCTCTACCACTTGCGCCACACTGCTGCTCCTGATGCCTTCACTACACATATACATAGTGAAATGATTACTGTAGTCAAACAGACTTACCTATGCGTCACCTTCCACATTTACCTTTCTTTGTATGTGTAGTAATAACACCTAAAATCTACTCTCAACAAAATTAACTCTAGTCCTCATGTGGTACATTAGATAACTAGACTTACTCATCTAATCTAACTAGATATTTATAGCTTTGGCCTACTTCTCCCCATTCCTTCCCCCTCTCTGCCCCTAGTAACCACCATTTTAACTCTTTGTTTATTCAGTGTTTTCTTTTAAAGATTACACATATAATGATTACATCTTGGAGAGAATTTTGCTACCACAGACTCAGCAACAAGGATGTGAGTACAAAGTATCTGATTCTAATTTTCCAGACTTTTCAAAGAATTAAATGGCAATAACTATTTTCATATGGACAAAATATATTTTTGAGATTATTCCCCTATGATAATGAAATGTGGCAAAAAAAATCTACTTTTGACGACTAAAAAGGATTAAGTTATGCCTTATGAAAAAAGGAATTTTGACCACTAGGAGGTTCTACTTGCTTGCAGAAATATTAGCAGTTGAAACTCATTCAAATTACATGGGATATAAAAACTCAAGGAACTTTTGACTTTTCAAAACATAAGACACTATGAAAATAATCCACTGACCTAGAAAAGCAGCAGAATATTCGCTCAGGTTTTCTTTTCCCTAGTTGTATGTTTGAGACAGGTTTTCTATGATCTGAGCTCCTTGGAGGAACAGAAAATTGCTACCTCTTTGCTTTTCAAATGTAGCTTGGAAGCAAGAAGCTTCCCAAAAAAAAAAAAAAGGGAAAGAAAAAAATAACAAAAACTAGCCAGAGGCAGAGACCAGTAGGCCAAACTCTTGGCAGAAGAAGGCTTCTTAAAACCTAGAAGACTCTTTCCCCAGGCAAGGATTTCATTCATAAAAAGGAGAGGCAGGGAAATGTGTCACTCAAGCAAATCTCAACCTCCAGTTTGAGAGTAAACATTGGACACAAATACACACAGCTGTACAGGGGCAGCAGGGCGAGCATCATAGCCACAGAATTTTCCTGTATCTTCACTGTAGTGCTGGTTATGTATGTTTACAATAGGATAAAATTGCAGCGACCCTCTCCACACCAGTGTGTGTACCACTGATAAAATAAAGCCCATGTCAGTTTCCTGTACTGTCATTATTCAAGGTGTTAACAGCCGAGGGAAGCTGGGTGAAGGGTACAGAGGACCTCCTTGTACACTGTATTAACACTTCCTATGATTCTCGTTCTCTCTCTCTCTCTCTCCACACACACACACACACACACACACCCACACACACACCCACTCCCTAAGTTCTAGGACTTCTCAGACTTTACCTCTTAATCTAGGAGAATAAATAGAGACATTAGAGTAAGGATGGCAGTACTGAGGTTTTTTTGTTCTTTAAAAACATGAAGCTACTTGGGTGGCTAAGGCAGGAGGATCACAAGTTCAAAGCCAGCCTGGGCAACTGAGTGAGATTTTGTGTGAAAATTAAAAAAAAAAATCAGGGCTTGGGGATGTAGCTCAGTGGTAAACCATTTGCCTAGCATGTGCTAGGCCCTGGGTTCCATCCTCAGCACCAGAAAAATTGGAAATTTTACATTCTACTTTTAAATCATTGTTTACATTTAATTTTTGAAAAAAATTCCTTCCAAATAGTCAGGTAAAACTGATGATGTGCAAAGGCACATAACATTCATCCTGTGATTTTACCTGCTCTCTGGCACACTGGCCACACTCCAGTTTGAGAAGCATACACCTAAACTCTTGCAAACACATGGCATGTATCTTTCCCCTTATCAAACCCTTTCTCTGAGCCCCTATGCATAGTCAAATATATACATAAACTTTATCGCTCACTTTGTGTGTGTGTGTATAACACGCCACCTCCAATTGTTTGGGGACCAAGGTGGTAATAAAAATAATTTTAAATTTTTTATTTTAATTGACTCATAATAACTGTGCATATTTATTGGGTACAGTATGATAATTTAATATATGTATACAATGGGTAGTGATCAAATCAGAGTAATTAGCATTTCCACATCCTTAAACATTTAGCATTTCTTTGTGTTTTGAGCCCTCTAACTCATCTCTTCTAGTTCTGTATAAGACACGTAAGAAGGGAATGTAGCTCAGTAGTATGGCACTTTCCTAGCATAAACAAGGCCTGGGTGTGATCCATCACAATAAATAAATAAAATATGCAATCACTCGTTGTAAGCTATAGTCACCTTCTGGTGCTGTAGAACACTAGAATTTACTCCTCCTAACTACATTTTGGTGCCTGCCATCCCACCTCTCTCTATCTCCTCTTCCCCTCCACCTCCCAGATCACTAGTGACCCCTAGTCTACTCTTGACTTCTATGTTACCAACTTTAAAAATAAATTTTAAGAGTATAAACATATATCCTAGTCTTGTCTCCATCACTTCACCAAGAGAGTAGATAAGAGGAGGGAGCTAACATGGCACCCATTTCAGCTGGTGGAAGTCAAAACAGAATTGGGAGTTGAGAGTTTTTTGTTTTGTATTGCTTTTATTTTTAGTGGGAGAGATCTAACATATAATAAAGTGGTTAGAGAAAAGAAAGGAGCTGAAACAAAGTTACTTTTGCATCAAAAACATGCCATATAACAATAAAAATACGATTCAACTATAAGATGGGACTGTGGGCAATTTTATAGCTGGGTTTCTGTTTTTGTGCCATGGAATCATACTTTTTTTTTTTTTGTAGTACTTACTGGGGTTAGAACTCAGAGTCCAGTGCTTGGTAGGCAGATGCTCTACAACTTGAGCCACAACCCCAGCCCTTTCCATTTCAGTTTATTTGTCAGATAGGGTCTTGTATTTTTGCCCAGGGCTGGCCTAAAACCGTGATCCTCCTACCTCGGTCTCTCTTGTAGTTATGATCACAGGTGTGCACCACCACACCCAGTCCTTATCATATTTTTTAGCCTTCTAATGCAATGCTCAGGGACAAATCACTTTTGGTGCCTATTTGATACTCACATTTTAACCTACTCCACCATCCCTTGATAGAAATTATATTTTACCTGTTGGCTGCCTCTGATATTTCTATTGAAATTATTAGGAAAAGAAAATTTTGATTACAATATATACTAAAAAAAGAAAAACCACCAGGCTTATTTAAGACAAACCAAAAATTTTAAGGTAATCAACAAAAAACAATTCCATACTTCAGAAGAGATGAAAATAGGGTAATACTTCAACCACTTAAATAGGGTAGCTGTCATGGGTTCTCCTTTTCATGAAAAGGAAAATAGTAGACAGTTCCACAATTGCATGAGTACAGTATAAAAAATGAAATAAAGGTAAGCATAAAATTCAGTGATTCAGAAATCACTACATGTTACCTCATCCGTGCTAATGATAAGCTGGGACCAGCTATTCCACTCTGGGCATTTGTATCTGTCTTCAAATGTGACGTGCTTAGACTTCCAGCAACAGTGTTCGTGGTTAAACCAGAATCCCCCAGTGCATATACCTTCTTTTAAGTCTGTCATCCAATGAGCAGAGATGTCTATCAGACCAGCTAAGGAACCTGATTTGAGAGGAGGAAAGGAAAGGCCAAAGTTAAATCCCATTTCTGAAACTCTGTTCTTCAGTAATCTGAATAAATTTTGTCAGTAAAAATGAGGGGAAAGGAATTAAAATAAGAGACAAGCATATACTTTCTTATTCCATTGGCAACCTCTGGCTGTTGGCTTGCTAGATTTTTGCTTATTATCTCTTCATTAAATATCAGTGTCTGTAACATTTTATATAGGGGGGACTTGGGAGAAAGGACAATGTTTGGGTGGACACAAGGGGCTCATGGATTAAGCTGAATTGACATGGTAAAGACATATTTTGACAGTTCCATAAGGACAGTATCATTATTTGACTCTTAATATACACAAAGTTGAGAAAAACATGAATTACCCCACTGAGGAGTAGCCTATGATATTTATTTGAGATGTCTGGGAAGGAGAGCTGATGAAGTTTATGAGGAGAAAGCTTGGATAGCAGGGTTTTGCTCCATGGGCAAGGGAACTGGCACAATGGCAGGAAGGCATCCTAAGCTAAGGGAATGAAATTTATGAGAGTATGAAGTGTGAGGTACATGGAAGGTTGGATGAAGCTGAAGACATGTTGACGCCTCCTGAACCTATGACATCCTGAGCTTTTTTCTTAGTGAGAAGGAGCAAAAGGTATTATTTACAGAACATTCATCAAAGAAAATGAATACCGAACTGGGGATCAGCTCCACAGCCTGATAGACTGATAGGGTTAAGATAGTTAAATTACTTTAGATTCTGGACTTCATGTCATTTCTGTTGTCCAGATGAAGCAACTCTGGCACAGAGAAATTAAATGCCAGAATCATGCTTTAGGGAAATAGTAAAGACATCGTAAAATTCACAGCCCCTGAATTCCCAGACTGTTCCTGCATTCAGACACACTGCTTCTATTGTTGCTCTCCAATGCTTAAAAACAAAATACTCTATGGGTATGAGGGAACGAAAAATATTCACTGACCACCCAGTGCCAGCAAACACATTAAAAAGTTGAGGATATCGCATCTACATTCTACCAGGTGAGAGGTCATGTCACGTGTGTATTTTGGTGGGTGCTAATAGTGTTAGCACAGGTTATTTACTTGAACACCTAGTCAAATCCAGCACCTACTTTTGGCCACTCCATCCCCCAGCCTTCTCTTCCTTCTAAATCTTATTGCAATGTTGGACATGTCCAACATTGCTATCCTCAACCCCATCTTTCCTTAGTTTTCTACCTCTTCCCCACCTTTTCCCAATTGCTCTTTCTTCTTTGGCTACAAGTTTTATCAGGTTCTGCCTGCTCCAAAAGAATGAAATGCTCTCCTTGACCTTGTTACTGCTTTTATTTACCCTGTCTTGGCAATGACTACCAAAGCTTCTACATTGGCTGCCTTCCCTTGAAATCTGGCTCATAACATATATCTGAGATGGGTTTTCAAGGTTATTGATATGCTCTGTCTAACCTGTTCTCCATCATCTTCCTTTTCCTCAGCCTTTCTATGATAACTGGCATTACAGACTACCCAGTCTACTGTTAACCAGCTGCAAGCCGACCGTGTCCTCTCTTCTGGAAGAGCCAGAAGGGGCAGAGTTAATGCCCTAGGCCATGGGTTGGCAAACTATGGTGTGAGGGCCAAAACTTGCCTGCCCCTGTATTTGTCAATAAGGATGGATACCCTGTTGGCGGCCAGGCTCATCTGTTTACCTATAGTCTAGGGCTGCTTGTGTGCCACATCAGAGAGTGGAGTAGGTGCTAAGAGACCATTTGGCCCACAAATCCTAAAATATTTACTATCTGGCCTCTTTACAGAAAAAAACTTTAACAACTTTTGCTCTAGGCAATTTTTGAAAAGTTTTCCACTCCATGGCTTGTGACGTATCACCCCTAGGTAATAGCTGCAGCTGCATTAACAATTGGGCACTGTGCTAGGTGCTGTATCTCATTTAATTCTTACAGAAAACTTTTAATATAGGTATTTTTGGAGGTACTGGGGTTTGAACTCAGGGCAGGCGCTTTACCAAATGAGTCCTGTCCTCAGCTTTATAGGTACTTTTATTATCACCTTTCACTGATCAGTAAACTAAAGCTGCCAGGGGTTAAGAAATTTGCCTAAAGCTACAAAACTAGCAAGTAGCAGGGCCAGGATTCAAACCCTGGCTGCCTGAAACTAGAGCCTGCGCTATGAACTGCCACCTTCTACCATCCAGATTTCTCACCTAACTTCTATTTCAGCTCAAGATTCCAGATCTTTCTAGACTCCATCTTTCAGTGCTATAAGGTCATCCCTTTTGGCCTCTCTGCCTGTTGTCTTTGGCTTTCTGCTTCCACAATGGGAGAAGAAGCCTGTGTGGGAATGTGCGTTACAGCTGTTATCTGCATAGCAGGGATACCATTCTTAGATTGTGTATAAGTTGAGCATCCTTAATCTGAAATATTTGATGATCCAAAGCCTTTTAAACACTGACATAATGCCACAAGTGGTAAATTACACACCTGAACTCATGTGATGGGTTACAATCAAAATCTAGGTGAATTAAAAATATTGTATAAAATTACCTTCAGGCTATGTGTATTAAGTGTATATGAAATATAAATTAATTTCATATGTAGACTTGGGTTCCTTCCCAAAGATATTTCATTATGTATATGCAAATATTCTAAAATCTGAAAAAATCCAAAACTTGAAATACTTCTGGTCCCAAGAATTTTGGATAAGGGATACTCAACTTATATTATTTCCAGTGGTAGAAGAGGTTGGTGGACCATATAGGAAAAAGTACTACCATCCCACCTTTAGCCACCACGAAGAATGTGATGATAAGTTCCCTAAGAGTATGAGCTATTTCTTATATGCCTTTCTGTACCACCAAAGGGGAAGGTAAATAAAAGTTTAAGAAATAGCTGTATCTGGGTTGGTGGTGTGCACCACTATAATCCCAGCACTCAGGAGGCTGAGGCAAGAGGATGGAAAGTTTGAGGCCAGCCTGGACTACATAGCAAGTTCCAGGTTGGCATAGGCTACATAATAAGACCCTATCTCAAAAAAACAAAGGCTAGGGGTATAGCTCAGTGGTAGAGCACTTGCCTAGCATGCTAGCATGTACAATGTCCTGGGTTCAATCCCCATCACACGTACATACTCTCTCTCACACACACACACACCAGCTACAAAACATGTCTCTTATACCTCATGCAGAATGTGGTTTATAAAAAAAAAAAAAAACTGTCTCCAGTGGGACTCTTCCTCAAGAAATACAGTGCTAAACCCCTTTGCCCAATTAATTTATGCTAATAAAAATTAAGAAAATAGACACAGTGATAACTTCACCTTAAAGTGGACAGGGAATCTTACAGCATATAAAATGTGTTTAAATGCATTTCCTCATTTATTTAAGGGAGGTGATACAGGAATTAATACTCCTTTGAAGATGGGAACATTGAGCTTCCAACTAGCTAACCAGCAATTCATTTCAAGTGGGAGAACATAGCAAACAACTCAGCTCATGACTTGTGGGAGGGGTATGCCACAATTTTGGGAGATTGGTTTTGAGAACTAACAAAGTTTACCATACCTGATAAAAGACCAATAAGGAGCATCAACAACCAGCCGGAAAAAGCATCACTCACACTGTGAATTAAGGCCCACGTTGACTCTTTGCTTTTATTGGTAATCTAGGGGAAAATAAGAAAACATTGGTATACTTTCCACATACTCCTCCTTCACCTCAAAATGTCTAAGTAAAGAAACACAATGACAAATCACCTGGGAACAGAGACCAATTGGGAGTTACTTCCCCACACAATCTTCAGCTGAACCAATTTCACCAAGAACTTCAAGATTTATTGAATGCTACCTGTTCATCTACAGTATTGCGATGCCTACAAAGACCTTATGGAGGGCTTCTTCACTTAGCCACTACTTCCTTACACCATCAATCTGTTTTGTTTATTGTGGGAAGGGGGGCCTCTTTCTCTCCCTACAATAGCTATAGTTAATTCACAGCAAATAGTTTGTTTTGCAAAAAAATAAACAAACATGGGTTTATTTCAGTGATGAAAGTACAGTTTGAGGTTTACCTTCTGGGGCTGTGGTTTGACTCAGGCAAATTCCAGGACTTGATCCCACAAATCCCTAATTGTACATTGACCACAGTTACTAAGTGTTATCAGTGATGTGTCTTTCATTTTCAGAAACCTGTAGACATATCCGACGGTATCAGAAAGTGCAGAAAGTTTTAACATTTAGGTTCTAGCCTTGTCAATTTAACCCTTCAATGTCCACATTTTTTTTTTGGCAGCACTGGAGTTTGAACTCAGGGTCTCATGCTTGCTAGGCAGGCGCTCTTACCACTTGAGCCACTCCGCCAGCCCTTTTTTTTGTTGGGTATTTGGGTCTCTCAAACTATTTGCCCAGGGCTGTCTTCAAACCGTGATCCTCCTGATCTCTGCCTCCTGAGTAGCTAGGATTACAGGTGTGACCTGCCAGCACCCAGCTATGTCCACATTCTTAAAACCATTATTCTGACAGCTTTGTCACTAGAACATCCCCCTCCTTTGTACTATCACTTCTTATCCTTGAAATAATTCATTTGCTACCCCACCTTCATCTAGAACACAAATAATAAATTATAAATTTTTCAAAGGGAGTTTTAAAATGTATTTTAACCTATAACTTTAAGTTTCTAATTTCAGTGCTAAAAAAAGACGAGGTTACATTTTTCCCCCCGTGACATTGTTTCCTCTATGGTTATTAACAGTTGATGTGCTGGGCTTGGTGGCTCATTCCTATAATCCCAGGTGCTTGGAAAGCAGAAGTAGGAGGATCATGGTCCGAGCCCAGCCTGGGAAAAAGAACAAGAACCTATCTGAAAAAAACAAATTAAAGCAAAAAGTCCTGGCAGCATGCCTCAAGAGGTATTGTATTTATCCAGTAAGTATGAGGTCCTGAGTTCTGTTCCTCCCACCCTTCCAAAAACACCCAAACAATTTTTGCTAAAAAAATAAAAGTCCTTATGAACCATGTGATAAACATACTTTAATTGTTTCAGGTTATTAATTGGGATCACTTAACTCAGATATAACCACTAACATGAGAAATGTACCTTTGTCATATCATAGGCGATTCTCACAATTTGAATAACGTTGAATATGCAACTGATGACAAATTGAACTCTAAAAGCAGAAATTCTAAAGCCAGTAAGAATCTCAATTCTAATGCCTGCCTCATCAGTTGATATGGTAGAATAGGTGTGTGTGGTCCAGAAATGCTATAAAACCCAGAACATCTTATAGGCATCACTGGTTTGAGTTATGATAAGCAAATTCAGCAGGATTATCACAATTCCAGGGATTAAGAAGGAATTTCTCAAAATCTGTACCTGGGACAACCTGATTCCAGGTTGTGAGAAAACCACTCAGGGCTGGGAAAAGCTTAAGAATTAAAAACCAAAAAAAGAACAAAAAACCAGGTCGGGGGTGTAGTTCAGCCATAGAACCTACTATACTGTGTGCACAGCCCTGGGTTTGATCCCCAGCACCACAAAAAAAAAAAAAAAAAAAAAAAAAAAGCAAAAGAGCGCTCTACCCGACTCTTCAGGAGGTATACTTGGCTCCGGGAGGAAATTATGAGCCCCAAAGAGAAGGGCTAACTTACCAATCAAAATTTAAAGTTAGTGTCTAAGCAGAAATAGTGAAAAAGAAAAAAAAAATACTACTATTGCTATTGCGACCCAGAGTGACTTGCCAGAAGGTCACCTGCTGAGAATCTCTGGGCTAGCGCTGGGCACCAGCCTTTGTTTGGTGGTGGGACTGGGGTTTGAACTCAACACCAACCTTTTTAATAGGCTTGTCATTGTGGCCCTTACACAAAGTACATGTAGTGATTCCCTCATTTAAGTGATACTGGGCATGCCTGTAATCACAACACTTGGGAGGCTGAAGCAGGAGAATTGAGATTTCAAGGCCAGCCTGGAATACATATTGAGACCTTTCTCAAAAAAAGCAAAGAAACTTTGGCAGACTGCTCAGAGATTTGGTCAACACTTTGAAAAGAGAAATGAGAAAATTCTCTTGACAAATTCAAAAGAGAATTCACAGCCCTAAGTACCACCTATTACCTATCACATTAAATTAAGGTACTTAATCTGAATTTAGCTGGTCTTGTGGTTTATTGGAGATAAATGAATACATTTACTTGGGTTTAATGGTTACACAAGCTATGATCATAAGGAGTTTATCTTGTATACTTCAGAAAACTCTAGGGCTACAAGAATTTTTCTTTAGTCTTTTTAAAAGCCCATTTAATTGCCTTAGTTTAAAAAATCTGGCTTCAAGGGAAAAAAAAACATAAAACAGAAATAAGATGGAGGAGGAAGATCTCTAACATTTATTTTGTCTCATTGCCCCAAGATTTTTTTTCACCTCTGCAGAGGCATGTATACACATTTCAGGTCTGTGAGGAGTTTTTTCAACCACTTATTATAGGAAGATATATCATCATTAAATGCAATTTAAAAAAAAATCTAGGATGAAAATCATAACCAAGATGTCTTTAAAAATAAAAATAAGTTGAGAAATTAAACCCTATACCGCCAGTAGAAACCAGATTCAGCTATATTCAGGGCTGGAATAAGGAAAGAATATATATCTTTAATTTCTTCCCCGGTGTTCCTAACACTCATGTACCATCTTTTGTCTTACCTCTCGGTGCCTATCCCGATCTCGAGACTTCTCTCTCACCCAATCAATTGTGTTGAAATCATCATAGGTCCCTACACCAGGGATTGGCTCCTCCAAGAAGTCCATGATCCTGTTTGAAGAGCCTATTCCGCCACCATTGTACGACTTGTCCCCTGTAGTGAACAGGAAACAGACATTGGTACTTCAGACACTCTTAACGTTTTTGATACCTTCTTTCCGAGCTCCAACAGGTACGCCCTTAAACTATCAGATGACTAGAGTAAAGGTATGTTGATAAAGCAAAACAATCATCTAGTGAGGACATCCATCACATGCAGAAGTTTCTGTGGTCTGGGCTCAAATGAGTAAGGCAGTGTGAATGGGAAGGGAAAGATGAGAGTGACGCAGTACAAAGAGAAATGACAGGCGCTGATGTGCAATGGGAAAGGATTTATGGAACAAAAGACAGGAAGGCGCTTAGAGGAGCTGAGGTGTTTTAGTTTATAGAACAGAGACAAAAGGGTCAAAGGTCTTTGCAGATGTATCACAGCAAGAACCATTTCACATTTATACAGCAATAATTCATTCGAATGAGGTGGATTTTGCCTCCCTGAGGACTTGAAGAAAGCATGCCAGCCTCTTCAAGAGTTAAGCTGGTTGGAATGTACACATTTTCCTTCAATAGATAAAGACTTTGATTCCGGATACAATGGGCTAGTAGGAACTCTATGTATGTGATTAAGTTGAAGATTTACAAACCGAGATTTAGAGAATGGTCCCTCCTTGATCCTTCAACTAGAAGAAACACATTCACTTGTCCACCCATCAGGGTTCTTAACCAGCTTGGTTTTCAGTACTTCCATTGCAATTTATTTATGCACATGCTTGCTCTTCCTTGTTTGTGGTGCTGGGGATGGATCGAACACCTTGCACATGCCAGGCAAGCACTCTATCACCGAGCTACACCCCAGGTCAGTAGTGTCCCCCTTTATCTTCCCTTCCAGACTAGAAGCTCTTTGCTGGTAGCACTCTATCTGATTCATCATCGCCTTCTCCACAGCATTTTAGCATACACTCCATGGTCAATAAATACCAGCTAAATCAAAATGTGTTTGATGAGTGGTAAGGATGAGGGAGAAGTATTTAACCAGTTGTACTCACACATGCTTAGTATTACTTAACAAACTTGTTCAAATTATTTCAGCAACATCCTCTGATGGAACAGTATTTTGGTATTAAACACAAAATTTAAAATGGTATTGCAGGGATCTAATGCGAATGTACCTAGGAGGAAATGCAGAGCAATGCCATTATTTAGTTCACCCAGCCAAAGCTCACATTTACAGCACCAACCTTGGCAGGGACAAGGCTTCATCCGGACTGTTTGGTAATGAACCCTTCTGCAGAGACGGCCCAACTGGGCTTGGCTGACTCCCTCTCCCCCACCTTCACTTCAACTCCTACTGGACAGCTTCAGCACTCTCACGGGGGTAAATTTGAATGGACACACCAAGCTGTATGTGGCTTACCAATTAATCGTAAATCTTCTGAGTGCCTAATTCAGCATACTTTTCATAAGCAATGTACACATTTCAAAGGAAAAGCTCAAGAGTCCAAATCATCTAGGGAGGACGTGGGACAGGAGGGTGGCATGGAGGAGGTGAACAAGTTAATCTTAAAACCCCAAACCAAAGTCCTTTCCATATCTTCACTCGTACCTGGCTGTAAAATGGATGTCTGCTGAATCACCAGCCCAGCGTTTCCTATCATGTCAGTGTCATACTGATAAGATGAAAGCTGTGTGCTATGTGAGAGCTTGGAGGGGGGGAAAGCCAGCTAGGAAATGACAGAAAGAGAATCAAGTATGTGGGAGGGGGAGTGGGACCAAGCTGTTTAAATTCTTAAGTCAAATGCTGACATGAACACAGGACAGCAAACAATCAGAAATCAACTCTGTAAGGCAGGTTAATGCTTCCATTGAATTTGCTCTGGTTTAAGAGTCTTCCTTTCTGGAAGAAAATAAAAACACAGGATTTTGTGAAATTGATTTTAAAAAGCATTAGCTAGCTAGCTACTGTTACGCTATTATATCGATGACCACCCTCCCCCCAGGCTTTATGGCAAAATGCAGATCGGCAACAACATCCTGGCAGAAAAGAAAGAATCCTATTACATCACTAGGTAATATGAGCACTGCATCATTCTCCTTTGTCGTCAGTCTCCTGTTAAAGACGCAATTGTCAGGCCCCTCCAAAGGGCACACAGCAGTGATTAGAATCCAGCTACAGACTGCTTGCGATTCTCCAGATCCCTTGCTCCCAGCGCATGCTTCAGTCCTGAGTCGGGCTCAAGTCTTACCTTCAATCACAGTTTTCTTTTTTTCTGCATCAAGGAAGAAATAACCTTAGCAGCCCGCATTTGCTCATTTAGGTTGAGGCGCTTTTACAGAAGGAGCCCTGCTCTGGGGCACTTCAGAAGGGCACTTGCTGTGTTCTCTGCCTTGCACAGCAACAAACGCCACCTAAAGAGCCACCAGTGCAGGCGGTCAGAGTGTGATGTCACTATTGAGATCACGTGACCAGACCCTTGGACCAGCCTTGGAGAAAGGAAGATTTTTTACTGAGCACAGAAGCCTTAAAGATGTAGTCGCATCTAAACAAATGCCATCAAACTTGGTGGGGGAGTCAGCCCAGAAAACTGGGGTCCTGATAAGTTTAACTTTTCAGACCTTGTTTAGCAGAAATTCCCAGAGGGCAAATGAAAAATGTTCAAAAACATTTAAAGTTACAGAGGTCCTAAGTAAAAAAGAGAGTGGCAAATATAGAAAAGGCTTTATAAAAATGCACAAGACAGCAATACCGTGGATAAAATCACACAAACATAATGCTAAGTGAAAGATGCCAGACACAAAAGAGCGAGTAACATCATGATTCTATTCCTTTCACTTCAAATGCAGACAAACCTAAATTATGCCATTGTAGGATACGAATGATTACATCATAAAAAGAAGGAAGAAAATGACAAAAATAAAGATAGGAGCTATCCAGAGACGGTTGCTGTCTGGGAGGACATATGGGGACGATAGGACCCTGGTGGAACACTGGTCATTTTTCTTGATCTGGGTAACTAAGGGATCACCTTATAATTATTCTTTAAAGTGTACATGTTTTATGTCTCATTTTTACATACATATTATAATTAAAGAAAAAGATGAAGCCAAGTGGAGTGGCACACACCTGTAGGCCCAGCTACTTGGGAGGTTGAAGCAAAAGGATCACTTGAGCCCAAGAGTTCTGGGCCAGCCTGGGCAACAAAGTGAGATCCTGTCTCAAAAAAGAAGTTATTTGGGGGCTGGGGATTAGCTAGTGTATGGCATGTACTTATGCATAAAGCCATGAGTTCAATCCCCGGAACAGAAAAAGGAAAAGAAAAATGTACAGACTGAATAGCATATTAGCTTACCACACAAAGTCAGTTCTTTAATATCACCTAGCCACTTTGAACCCCAGAGTACAATAAAGAAAATGAGTTGTCCCTTAGTAGTAATGCTCTCCCCAGAATGTAGTATTGACTCTGATACTCATTAATGCAACCTGGGTGAAGGTACCTATCGTAGTCCTAACAGCAAATTCACTGATACATTCCCAGCCTTCTAAAGGCTTTTCCTTCCCTGGCCCTATTCTGAAGGCTATTTTTAAGCAGATCGTAATTAATTGAGCAATAAGCCCAGTTCAGGAAAGAAGAATAAAATTGTCATCTCCCAACTCCCTAAATGAATCAGCAGGACAGCCACTGTTAAACATTAAACCAGTCGTAGTATGCCCAATAATCGGACCCTGTATGTAGGGCTTTGAAATGTTATTACTCCCATCTGTTCTTAAGGCCTGATATATCCTGAAATGTTAAAACAACAAAACCTAAGTGTGCGGCACTGCATGAAATCTGTATGCTTTTAATTCATGATAATTATATCACTCTCTTGATGAACTAATGTAGCATTAATAAGAATTAAGATGAAGTAGCAATTGCTAGTAAGTGGCAAAGTGTTAAAATACTGCAAAAAGCAACAGCCATTTGTAGGCCAAGTGTGACTGTCTTCTACAATTAAACTTGTAGGAAATTATGTGCATCTTATTAAAAAGGATTACATGCAACTTCATAAGTCTCCTTCAGAGCCAGTAATTGAACAGGATTTTACCTATAGTATCTGAAAACCACTACAGAATTCACTTACATCATCAAATGAGACTTAACATTATTAGTTTTGCTTTATTTGTTTGTTTCTTTCTTTCTTTATTTACTGCAGTATGGGGTTTGAACGCAGGGACTCACACTTGCTAGGTAGGTGCTCTACCACTTGAGCCACTCCATCAGCCCTGTTTTGTGAAGGGTTTTTTGAGATAGGGTCTCACAAACTATTTGCCTGGGCTGGCTCTGAATCTCAATCCTCTTGATCTCTGCTTCCCAAGTAGCTAGGATTACAGGCGTGAGCCACCAGAGCCCTGCTCGCATTTCACATTTTGGCAGATAACTTAGCAGTCAATTTAGTAAAGATACTATATTCACTGGTACTTTAAAAACGTACAGTTTACCCAGGCACTGGTGGCTCACACCTGTAATCCTGGCTATTTAAGAGGCTGAGATTTGAGCCAGCCCAGGCAAATAGTTCGTGAGACCCCCATGTCCAAAACAACCAGAGCAAAATGGACTGGAGGTGTGGCTCAAGTGGTAGAGTGCCTGCTTTGCCAGTGTGAAACCTTAAGTTCAAACCCCAGTTCCACCAATGAAAAAGTATAGTTTATAGTTTCATAACTGGACCCATGTTAATAACTTTTAATTAAAGTTCATATGCTTTCTAACTACTATATCAGCACTTCTATGGGAGAGACTTTTCAAAAACTCCATGAAAATTACTTCCTTTAGGTACTGGAGGGCTGGTAGGTATGATGTAGCTTTCATGCTAAAGTGGGATTCAATTATAATTTAGATTAAGAAATGAGTCACCAGTACTCAGAGTTTGACATGCTATATTTATTTTATTCTTTTCTACCCTCCATTTCCTTCTCTGCCAAATTAGTAATCTCTAACATATGTTCATTACACATATTGCTCAGTATAGGTCAGCTGATATTATTGTGAAAATTGAACAAAATGCATAGTAGAGTTAATATTT